CTTTCCTTTCCTTTCCTTTCCTTTCCTTTCCTTTCCTTTCCTTTCCTTTCCTTTCCTTTCCTTTCCTTTCCTTTCCTTTCCTTTCCTTTCCTCTCCTCTCCTCTCCTCTCCTCTCCTCTCCTCTCCTTTTTTTTCCCTCCGTTCTTTTTTTTAAAGCAGGTATATTTACCGGAACCGCTTCTAAATGAATAGAAAAATACTAATGACAAAGGTTTACTAGCACATTCATGACAGAAGACATATACAGAGATTATGTTCTATAAATTGTCACAACCAGCTCTTCATAGCAATCTTCTGTCACCGCTGCTATTAACAGTGGTTTTTATTGAAATGAAAACTTCTCACTTGATAAAAGCAGGGCAACACAGAAAAGTGAGATTAAGGCTCAAGCAAAGTTGATTTGTAAATCTAAGTACAAGGGCACAAGTAGATGCATGGTGATTGCTTTTTCAATTCTGCCTTTTCTATGATTCCCTTATTCTTGGTTCATATATAGTGAATGAAACATTCTACCATTCTAACATTAAGCAACAGGAAGTAGACTGAAGAAAAGAAAAATTACCTGTAGGCTGAAGACTGAGAGAATAACTGAATATTGATGAAAAGTTTACTTTCTGGTATGGAAGAGAAAAATCATTGTTGGTTAAAAATTTGTAATGTAGGTTTAGGACACCAGGAGATGCAACGTGGGCAGATCAGAGAAAGAATTTGTGAAACACAATAGTACTGCAAGGCCATTCTAGCTTCACCAAAGTGAGGGAAAGTCATCTTTTAGAAAAAACATTAGAACCTCTCCATTAACACTCTCCTCTCTCTCCATCTCTCCCCCCACTGAAAAAAATCATAGAATTTTGCCTTTTTTCTTGGGAGAAGTTTTCATTCACTGACACCCATCCATACCCACAAATTAAAAAAAAAAAATCATAAAACTAAAATTGGCTTAAATACATTTGGTAGAAGAGAAAAGCCATTATAGGATATACTATTTGTATTTGTTATATTCATATCCACCTTTCCTCTAAAAATTCAGGACAGTTAACATTGTCTTTTGTTTGTTTGTTTGTTTAAATTTTATTTTATCTCACCAACATCAACCCTGTTAGGTAGGCTGGGCTGAGAGAGGTGACTGGCCCAAAGATAACCAGTATGTTTGGCTAAATCTGGGGGCTAGCAGGTCAGATGAAAACCTGAGACCAGACAGGACCATAACAACAGATCAAACTCTCATCCCATTGGATCTTAGCCTATTAGGGTGCAAAGGAAGGAAAAAGATATGTAAGATTTGAACTTGGAGACTGTTTTTATGTATGTGTGGGTATGGCTTGAGGCTTATATGTAATTTTCTGCTCTAATTTTAGTATGTATAAAAAACTAGTTTATCAAAGAGTTGGTCCTTAAATTTCTTGCCTGCTAGCTTTTGCATTCAAGTATTGGTCTGGGGAAAGCCTGACACAAAGGATGAACTTGAATCCCAAGTCCTAGCCCGAAATCTTAACCACTATTCTACATGGCCAGGGCCGGCTCTAGGCTAAGGTTCAGTAGGCACCAGCCTAGTGGCACCAGATCTTAGTGGGCACCAAAATTGAAAAGATTTCTGAAAAACCCAATAAAAAAGCAAAAAGCAGTAATGGCACACTCCATGAGTTGACCCACTGAAGGGTTAAATATAAGTTTGCAATGTACGTATAGGATGAAAATGTCCAAGAAAAGAGAAAAAAAATTGTCTGGGGCTGCAGATCATAAGCATAAAGCTCAAAAACTCAAAGAAAAAAAGAAAGGACAGGGCACCTTTTTGAAATTCC